GAGCATTGCTGTGATGAAAGTGAAATGTCAGCTGGTGAACATCTAGGAGGTAGATGAATAGTATGGTGGTGTACGTTTATGAATTGCGGCGTCGTTGATGGAACTGTTAGTTAGGTTTTGATGGTCGTTGCTTCCTTAGCGCTTCTGGAGAAGCAGTGTTCGAACGATGAATGATGAGTGTGTTGGATGTATGAATTGTTTGTTTGACTGTAGTTTCGGAAAGTATATTGGGTAATGGAGAAGGGAGTTGATTGTTTTTGATTTTAGCGTTCGTCTCTATGTTTCGTAGGATGCGACTGGTTTCGCGGCTTATGCTGAAGTGGTCTCGTTTGTCTTGTTAAGCTGTTTCATTTGCACTTAATTGAAAGGAAAATAGAGTAAGTGTTTATGTTGACGGACATTATGTATTTTTGTAAGGAATTTTGTTTTTTTGTGGACAGACAATATGTGTTTTTGGTAGAATTTTTGTTCTTATGTCGACAGTCATTATGTGTTTTTGCTGGGAAGTTTGTTTTTTTCTTTTTGTATGGGCCTTTTATTGTTCAAAATGTGTGCCTCATTATCTAGAGAACTATGAAAGCTAGAAAAATTCTGAAAACGGGAGGATAATCTCCCGACATTGAAAATTGATCAATACACACTTTCATCTCTCCTAAAGGTCCAGATTCGATACCGTCAGCGCCAGAAGTGAAAGAAAAGTGGATTTTGGACTTTAAAATTTTGCGTATATTCAGCTGTCCGGCGCCAATTTTTGTAGAGAAATTTAATTGAAACGAGAATGTGATTTTGTTAATACAAGAATTTTTGTTTGCGAGAGAGAAAAGAAGAAAATTTTGAAGAAAAGTATAATAAATTTTAAACAAAAGGAAGATTTGTTAGTGAAAAGAAGACGCAACATTGAAAAATAGTTATAGTTACTATTAATTGAGATTGTTGTGACTATTAAAAGAAAAGAAGAAAACAGAAGGCAAATAAATTCACTAGCAGAAAGTGTTATATCTCGCCTTTAGAGATACAACGAAAGAAGAACTAATGGCCTATCATTCTTATTTCGAAGGTTGATTTCTTCTTTTCCTGTAGATCTATACCTAGGCAAGGTTTTATTCTACTACTTGAACGTATACGTTTATTCTGGCAGAGGAGCTGTGTGTTACCTAGTACATCGGTAGAACAGGCACTTACCAAGCCGTTTCTTCTGTTGTTGGCTACTGAGATTTCTGTGGTTTTTAGGCAGCAGGAATACGTACTTACTATTGAATTTCCCTATCAATCATCGCAGTACAGCGAATCCCCTCATCCTAACCACAATTACCGCCAGCACCACTCTGTTTTTCAAATTTCGTTTTCGTTTCATTTTTCATAAATGTATCTTTTAAAGCAACTAAATTACAACGAACGTGATGGGGTCGACTTCCTATTGACTGCGGAGCGCTTCGGGCAGATTCAGATCGGATATAGCCTGTCGACATCGCAACTTGTGCGCAGCACAATTGCTCTCCAGTTGATTTTTGTTTTCTGTGCAGAGATAAGTGGCAAATACTTCGCCGAATTAGGATTATGTTCAGAGGTCTGACTTAAAATACGTATAGGGAATGAACAGAAACGCAACTCAAAAATCGTCGGGGATCAAATTTTAGATTTAGGTGTCTACTTTCATTTGAGGCCTCTCATAGCTTTCTGCATCTTCCAACAGAAAAGCCATAACGTTTTTGCTAAGAGCCCCATTTTGCGCCTTGTCACGCAATAACTCGGCAGCGCTTCAACGTTTCGATTTCAAATTCTTAGCATAAGCTCGTAGGACAGTAAACATTAGTCACTGGAAGTACCATCGAAATCGGATGTAAGATAAAATAGTTTTTTCCTGAGGGGAGGCCTCCTTAAAGAAGAAGAAGTACCAATATATCGGGTGGCCCTGATAAAATCGGACACTTTTATTCGTTGTTTTTGAGACACTGTCCAGTAGTCCAAAGAGTTTATTCTAAGCTCAATCGATAGAGAATTGAATTCTCTACAAACCATGCTATTTGAATCTCTAACAACATTTTTCTCGTTTGAGCACCATTCAAAATATTGAAGAGTGCTGAGTTGCCTAACTGCGACACACTAAAAATAGAAAAATATTTGCCTTGATCGAAAAAACAGATTCCATAAGAATTTTGAAAAAATCAGAATATTCACCGGAAAAGTCTGCATCTACTCACATATTTTCCGAAATTTTACAGTTAAATCTTTTAGGAGAATTTCTCTGTGCAAAAAACTGACAAATTCAAACAAACCTAACTTTTGAACCTATTTTTCACTATACACAGTTTTTTTACTATAAAAGCAGTAAAACGTTCTGAATCTAGGGTTTTAGTCCGATTGTCTTACACAGAATTAAATCGGCATCATTTAATCTATAAACAAAGTTTCTCAATTCAAACCATTATTAAAAAGATTAATTTAATTTGAAAAAATTGAAAGCCAGTGAGAGCTAATTATAAGTCCATCTGGAGTAGCAGAAACATTGTATGAAGTAAATGGGCTAAAAATCTCAAAAAAGGAGACGACAAAAGCTTGTCCCAGTTTGACAACTCAGCATCCTTTTTGTCACCAATATTTTGAATGGTGCTCAAATGAGAAAAATGTTGTCAGAGATTCAAATATCAGGTTTTGTAGAGAATTCAATTCTCTATCGATTGAGCTTAGAACAAACTCTTAGAACTACTGGGCAGTGCCTCAAAAACAACGAATGAAGGTGTCCGATTTTATATGGGTAACCCGATTTTTCCAACAAAACTAAAATTCAAAGACATAATGATTTAAACGGAACTTTTTTCGTATTTCGGGACTCGAAAAGATCAGAAACTTTGCTTTTACGTATACATTTTTTCTGACAGTTATGATCAGTTTCAATTATCAAATGTACCAGTTTTACAGTTCTGCAGTTTTTACAGCTAACCGTAACTGTTGCATACCTAAACATAGGTTTGAAGACGAGCTTGAGGAACTAAGAATGATCGTTTTTTTACTAAGTCTTCTACAAATAGTATTTATTATAATTATACAAAAGTATAATCCTAGGAAAATATGGCGAAAAGAAAAGTGGATGAAGCATTGTTACAGAGTACACCAAATTACAGCACCTTTCATACTTATACGGGTCTCTCTTGAGAATATGAATATAACTCATTGCACAACAATCTTTATTAATCAAATAAGTTAATATTTAATTTTATATTTGAACAATATACACATAAATATTTGTTTTACCATAACTGATAGTATTCTAAAAAAGCTCTGATTCAAATAATTATTTATTAAACAAGAAATTATTAACATCATCAGTAATTAATTTGTTTAATGTGTGTGTTTCTCGATTAATACAAACATATTTTATTATTAAAATTAGTTTAGAATTAAATGAATTTTTATTGTTTTGGGATTAGAATAATTCGTTGTGAAACTTTAAGTTCCATATACAATTACTCTGCTGTTTTGAAGCAAACAGTTCATCCTTTTCTCTTTATGGATTATTCATTAAATACATTCTACAAAAATGATGAAATTTTTTATCGCGCTTAAATGATGAGGATGAAATAACTTTGTTTTGTACATAATTCTATTTTTTGTTTATTGCAGATGAAAATCGAGTTGGAATTGTTACTTTTTCTGTGGTATAAGGTGCTAGTAATTCAAAACTTAAGCAAAATTTATTTTTGCGATATTTATACATGGTTGGATAGAGCTCGTCGAACTGAACAAGAATATGTGTGTTTTAATCTTTCGAATCCAAATTTGAATGCCGAAAATTTTAAAATTCTAAAAAACGACTTATTTTTTAAAAAGGAACGTAAAACTCGAACACAGTATAAACTTTTTCCAATATGGGCTTCATCTCCTATCCAGAGAGATCTGAAGCTTTTTGCGTCAATATGAACGGGATTTTGGCTATTGGTGAAAAACTAAAATTTTTTAGGTCATATCATACTTAAACAGTATTGAAACACTTTTTCAGATTCAGTTTTTTTACGGAGAATAAGAATAAAAAGCTTCCACGGTTCCCAAATATACTGTGTTCGAGTTTTACGTTCGTTTTTTAAAAAATAAACCGGTTTCTTTTAGAATTTGTTTTAGAATTTTAAAATTTTTGACATTAAAAGTTTGATTCGAAAGGTTAAAACACACATATTCTTGTTCAGCTCGACGAACTCTATCTAACCATGTATAAATATCGCAAAAATAAATTTTGCGTAAGCTTTGAATTACTGGCATCTTATATTTATATTTTATTGTTCGGCTTTGTTGCAGTTTGGAGAGGAAGATTCTTTCATCATTTTTGCTAAATATACTTAATAAATAAACCATAACGACAAAAAAAAACGAACTGACCGCTCAATAAGAGGAGGCTAATTACATTTTACTTAAAAATAATTTCTAGAATTTTGAACAGTCTTCCACAGCGTACACTGCTACTCACTGTGAGAGATCTTATTATTATACATGTCTTCAAAAATTTATCAGAACTATCCAGTTGTTTATGATAAGTTCAATTGTTCAGTGAAAGTAGACAATTTTTTTCTCTCAAGAAAAGATACTGTCAACAAATCATATACCAGCGCTAAATTTCTTAATGTACAACTGAATATTGTGTAAAGTTTAAGATTCATGCCAGTAACAACGCAGAGAAATATTTTTTCTTCACCATGTTTCTAATAGAATAACACTTTTATGTCAGGGATGTTCAGCCGAAAAATCATTATTTTTTTAAAATTAAACATCCATTGTTCATTCCTTCGACTTTTTTTTCTCTCCGTTCTCTTTTTACCTTTTTGCAGAGCAATAACTATGTGAGGTCGTTCTTTCGTTTTGTCTTATTTTACAATATGTGGTAGTCACCTTCTTTAAATAAAAAAAAAGAAGAAAGAACACACACACACACACACACATACACGGACAGACAGACAAAAATTTTCTCATAATCCTATTTAAGAATTTGTATTTTGAAACACGAACACGCTATGAATAAAGATCCATTTTACGATGACGGCGTAGAAGCTAATAATGATAATGTATCTCAGAATGATATAGCTCCTAATCGAGAAGAATTGATTCGTACACCATCACCTCCGGTTCCTAAGCAACGGACACGCGCTGTATCTCCAGCAGGAGTTTCACAATCAGAAAATGCTGCTATTAACGATGAAACTCTTATTGATCAAAATGAAAACCCAACACAATCAGTGGATTCATCGGATTCATCGGTCCATGAAGAACAAACTGGAAATATGGAACGTACCGCATTGAAAGAACTTGTTTCTGAGCCCAATAATGTTCGAAAATTATCAGTGATACCGACAACAATCATAACTAAAGAACACACAAAGGACGCCATTATTCAGACAGACTCAGCTAATGTTAGCGAACATGCCGTACAAACAGAATATGAGAAGCCTGTACCAGCGATGCGAAAACGAGAAATTATTATAGCACCTGATGAATCAAATCAAACACAAACCATTAGTCCAACAATAAAATCATGGTTTGATCGTGATCCGCTTGTCATACTGCCTATTATTGGTTTTTGTAATCCTTTGTCGATGACAAGTCGTTCAAATGATGTTATTCTCACGTTACCAAAACATCTAATGATGTTAACCGAACAAAATTCTGTTACCGTTTATCCATGGAATTTTCCCGATATAAATTCGGCACCTCAAATCGATACTTTACTTGAATGTTATTGGTCATCTTTTCTCTATAAACTTCTTGTCACATCATCAAATTCACTATTCATCTACGATTTAACCGATCATCTCATCACCGATTCAATCACATTAAGAGGTTCACCACTCACTGTCAATCGTTTTCCGACAAAAACCTTACTAGACACGAGTTCTCTACCAACAACACGAAACATCCCATTAACATCGTATAAATCGACGGCATCCGCACGTTTTACAACATCGAATTCCGATGGAATATTTTATTGTTTTTCGAGTACAAAATATGGCTCATCGATGTTGGCAAAAATCAATCATAATACTCGCCAACATGAACGTACAATCGATTGTGATAAAACTGTCTGTACAATGGCTTCATCGGAGAAGAATATTGCCGTTGTTACACGTTCTAGAACATCGCATGTATTAACCCTTTACGATAATGATTTGATTGGAATTAGAAAAATTATACTGCCAATGACAAATGATGGTGGTGTTAGTTCAATTGTTTATCTATCAAAAACGTGGCTGGTGTTTGATCACATTCAACAACAAGTAACAGGAATTGGTAAAAAAGCAAGAAGATTTACAAAACAATTTTCTGAACAACCGATGAATTGTTGTGTGATGAACAAAGGAACATGTTTAGCAGTTTGGTTTGGTTTTCCAGGCGCAATCGCATACTATAAATAACATGCACTCTCCTACTTATTTGGTAATTTAAAAGAGACCTTTGTTGTTTCAACATCATGTTATTTACTGTTATACAAAGAGTGAACAAAGAAAGAACAGGATGTTAGCTAGCCTCACGGTCCTACTGAACTTAGATTTGCTCCAAGCAAAAATCTTGTTTATATTCTAGAGAGATAGTGTTTTCTATTTTCAACAAATACGTCTATTTTATTATTTTAAAATAAAAAACAAAAGCATACACCAACAAACAGTCATCAAAAGTATACAAATAAAAGAAAAAGCACAACAAAACAAATAATGCAACGAGATGCAAATCAATCGAGTAAAACAGAAAAAAAAGGAATTTATATGGACAGAAGCAGTCCCAATCTATACAGTGGAAAAAAAAAAAGAACGAACAATTCATTATTCTCGTTCACAAATTAAAACATACGTTAAAACACTCATACAGCGATAGACACAACGAAAACAAGTAAAAAAAATTTATTTTCAACAATAGGAGCGAAAAAAATGAAATTTTCTCATAAATGAACATCGATATTTCGAAGTGAATAATATTTAGTGCTTGTACGCTGAGATGTGGTACTAACATCAAAACTAGACGATTTTGTTTTTTTCAATTGTCTTGTTTTGAATCGATAATGTTGTAATTGATCAGTAAAACCTGTTTCTAACATTGGACGATATGTTTGAGGTAAACAATGTTCCTAGAATGAATGGAAATAAACATAAAATAGTTTTTAGTATATTTAGTCCAATTATTTTTACGCATAAAATAATTTTGCTAAAATTTCCTTTTTCTTCTATTACTTACATTGGAATATTCAAAAAATGCTTTATAACCGCCTTCTAAAAGGTAAATTTCTGGATAACATAATTCTGGATAAGCAGAAAGATGTCGATTACGATCGATTTCTCGAAGATATCGTAATCTAGAATAATAAAAGAAGGATATAATGTTACATTGTGCATATGAGGAGTACATACAGTGAGGGAGCTCGTTCAGATGAAAATTCACAATGAAATATAATAATTATTCGTTTTGTTTTATCTTTTAATTGCATTGGTTGATCGAAATATTCCCGTTGTATTTGTTCACGTGTATACAAATTTCTAGACGAATTAATGTGACCACCATCGTATTCGTACGGATAACGACAATCAATTATATGAAACTGTTCGATATCAGATGAATAACGATTAAGTAAAACATCAATTAGCTACAATGAAAGACAACAAAATTGAAAAAATGTGTGCGGCACAAACCAATTTTCATTCTACAAACGTCAGTATACTCGAGTAAGAAGATATATAACGATATTTTATTAACTGGTCTTGATCTACCAATCAAAAACTTTTGATTGGTAAAAACTGAACTTTTCTCAAGAGGAATACTTAATTGCATAAAAACTATCAAACTCTCACCGTTTTAGGTGCAATACAAGCAAGATCATTGTGTTTACAACTTTGACAACGTGGTAATAAATATGGACGTGTTCGATCACCAATAAGTTCACGATTGGCTCCTTAAAACAGGACACATATGGCTTTTATCCGTTAGAACGAGAAAAATCAACTTACCAAGTTCAACAGAGGCTTTTAAACGTGCCTCGTCAAACTGTTCAAATGGTTCTGATATGCTACGATATAACTAAACGAAGAATGAGCATTACAACTTTTTGTTCTGCACGGGGAAGGATTTTCCTTACTTTTGATCGAATATTTGTTGTTTGCTTCTTTATATTTTCCTTATTTTCATCCTGTTCTTTGTGAACAACTTTTCTTCGTTTCCCATTCTTCTTCACTTCGTCTATTTCAGTACTAGACCGTTTCTTAATGAGAAAAAGAAAACAGTTATCTTCACAAAACATTTACGCTGCTATATCAACTGCCTGTTTTCATCAACCAACTGTTTTTCAAGGCCATCAACAAATTAAACAATAAGACGTTTTCCACGCGCATTTCTAATCGATTAATGAAATTTTTCATATTAACTACTTACATTATTCGATTTATTATTATTATTATAAATACTGTTTTTAATGTTTAACATTGGTGTTCGATTTTTAGTCGTCATCACGGCGGATATTTGTTCAGTATCAGACGATGTCGATAATAAAAGTGGTAACGGTCGAGTTCTTAATTGTCGAGTTGAATTCACATTTGTCGTACTGAATTCTTCCATTTCACACTCATCACTACTACTTATTTCTCCACAACTTGTACTTCCAGTAGCAATAAACATTTCATCTTTTAACGGAGTAACTGTAATTAACTTTTTATCAAATAATCGAACTAAATGATCAGAATTAGAATCCTAGAAAGAAAAACAAACCAGTGCAGATAAATTTTAAAAAGCAAGGTGTAAAACTCTACTACAACTGGCTGACCAAAATAGTCACAATGGTTCAAAAGCATCCTGTTGAGAAATAAAAATGAATCTAATACTGTTTGGATAATTACCGATGCCGATTGTGATCTTGTTTGCATTGGATGTGTAGTTCCATTTCGTATTTGCTGTTGTTTTAGATTAATATTGTCATCATCGTGACTGATTATTATGGTAGTTATCGTCCTTTAACATCATATTTGTTAGTTTTCTATGTGATTTTTTATGTGTAAAAAATACTTACGACTCAGGATCTATTTTTTTAATTTTTTGCCCTTTTGACATGACAAAAGGATCTACTCTTACATCTTGTTTTACACTTTGTTCACTATGTCGTTTTCTACCACGTTGTGACTGCTTTTGGTGTCGTATTTGTGGGCGAGTTCTTGTTTCAAATCCAAACTGTTCTAATTTAGTCTGTTGCATTAATAGAGTGGAATTTGTTGTGAATATTGTTGATCTTCTAATAACACATTCAGACGTATTTAACCTTAATTGATACGAAAAAGAACTAGAATTTATATAAAGCTTGACATGTTTAACATTTGATCAAACATTTAGAACACCAAACAGAATAAGTCGTAAGAAAAGATTTATTTTTTTAAACAGTTTATTTTGTGATTGTATAGATAGATAGTCACAAGTATAATTGTTAAAGCAGGAAAAAATGATTAATCAATTAGAAATTTCCAGTAAAATGAAAACATCCATAAAGTGTTTTTATAGACTATCTGATCCACACATTGTTTTCTATCATTATCGTTTAGCTTTAAGCATCATTTTGTCGAACGATATTTTCTCAAAAACATTACTTTTTCCGCGATATATTTGTACGATAAAACAAATAAAGAACCTGCTATCATCAATGATATACGTTCAATCAATTTAGATAATAAAGTTAACTATCATGGCAATGTAGTTGATTATCTCGCTATTTAGAGGATGTATTGAAATATATTTAGCACAGAAATTTTATTGTATCAATTCAAAGAGGAACTAAATCGAATTTCAATGTCGTACATGAGGATAGAACATGTCTTTTTCTTTATATTATTTTCTCAGTTTCATAACTACTTATGTCATGAAATTGAGAATACAATCAATATATTATGTTCAATTACATAAGACGAAAATGTATCTAACTGTTACTTGTTAAACAAACAGCTAAACGTACAATAGTGTAAAACTGGCTTAAGAGATTATATATAGTACTAATACTGACAAAATTATATACGTACGGTATATACGTGACAGAAACACCTTAAGAGAAAAAAAGAGAGCCATCACGATTAATATACGTGAACTTTTCTATGTTTAATGGCAGTAAGTCGACAAGATGCATGAATATATATTAATGAGTTAAAAATTTCATACTGATGCTGTTAATTCTGTGAACAGAGAAAAATGACTATTGTTAGACAACAACAAGAATTCTTTCACAAAACTTCAAAACAAAAGAAAATTTTAGACCTTAACTGATAGTAAAAGTAGAGATACTGTAGAAAACTCACTCTCTTAAGTTAAGAACGCTATATTCTCTTTGTAAGAATTAAAAATTGTTTTAGAATGTTTAACAATGAATTAGCCTAAGGCGTGAAAACAAGTTAAAATAATTATTATATTTCACTTTTTATCTTTCGATATCTTTACCGACGAAAACAGCGTAGATCTATTATTTTCTTCTTCCTATCGTTCTCTCTTGAAATATGATCAACCTTTTAGACTGATTCTGAATGTATGTTTACCACATGTATCGTTTCATTCTCTCTGATGTTGTCGCGTTAATGGATTTTTATAATGAGCAAACTTACTGTTCATCTGTATCACCAACGGAAATCGAAGATGTTAAAACTAAAAAAACAACGAAATATTTATACAGTTAGAGTAAAATTTTCTTATTTACGTACCTAAATTATTTTCCTTCAGTACTCGACATTTATCTTTTATCGGACTATCATCTTCTTCTTCACTGGATGAAAATAATTTACGACGAGGAGTTCGCCTAAAATCGAAAGCAAATCATAAAACATCATTAGAATATTGAAAAAATACATATTTTCAAAAATGTATAATAGTGATCAAAATTCTCCATACAATTTTAGCTTCAAATAACTGAGCAGACAAGAGAGAGTATTTCGATAATGAAACAGAGTCAAGAACTAAAGATAAACATTGTTTGAAAGTCTGACATGTCTCAAAAACCCTATGTATGACAAAAATCATTTCTTAAAATTGAGGACAGTGTAAAAAGATGAGAGGGAAAATTTGTTGTCTGTGTTTTGTACATATTAACAAGTGTTCACTATAAATGATTGTTTTTACATAATGAATTATTTTATTTTAATTTTAAAATATTCATACATTCAATTTCATTTTCATGTTCAATGATTCATATACATATTCGTTCAATCGAGTTTTCAATTATCTTAAATTGATGATTTTGACTTATAGAACAGTTAAATTTATTCATCATTTATTGTATGTTTGTTCAAGTGATAAAACGATGTAAAGCTCATTTGACAAGTCAGTCGTTACGTGCACACAAAACACACATACAGAGAGAAACAATACTTTATAACGGTTTTCTTTTACTTTTGTTTTCAAAAAAAAAATAGAAAGTTAGAATAAAAAAATGGAATAACTCATAACGATAGTAGTTACCATTAGAACATAACAGACTGTTAAAACACAATTGTAGTCTTACAAATTTAAAAAAGACAGTGAACTATACACTCACATTTTTCATCTATGTTTCCTTTAATTCGAAACCATTATAATAAATAGTCCAACTGTTAGATATTATCAAAATTTGCCATTTGGAAATGGTAGTTTTTTAAATAACACATCTTTGCGTTGACTCTCTTCTTGCATGCAGATCATAAATCTGATATTTGATTCCTGATAGAGGATAACTACGTATTACATAAAGTAGCTTCGTGTGAAATCATCTAACATCTTAGTTGCAAAGTAATGGCTCGTTCGAACTATTAGATTGCTAATTTTTGAACAAAAAATATTGAATAAACGAAGCATACTGGCGATCATAATCGACAAGATAGATAATAAATGCTCGGAAAATGTTGAAGAAAAAAAATGTAATTAACATACCTCCACATCATGAAACAAGTGTTAAAATTTGAATCAATATTCGATAGAACTGTCGATGTATTTAACCAATGTTCAATACTTAAAATGTTATCATGATTCAATGTCATAGCAACTATTTGTTTGAATAGCGTTAATTAACACAATTTATATTTCGATGATAAATAAGAATAAAATGGTTTTAATTTAAATTGGATCATGGTTTTCTATTGCTGCTTGATTTCTGGATATATTAACAAGAACGATTTATTGTGTAGAAATATTTATTCAATTTTTAAAACAAAAAAAGCCGTTTGTCAAGCTTAACGTACTGTATAAACATGTACATACACCACCATTAAGTAGAAGAAAAAAAAAGAGAACGATATATAGAGATGGTTCATATTCATTTTTCTCTATATTTGTGTTCGCTGTTGTTTGAGAAAAATTCGTTTTCTATATGTTCTGCTCGCAATAAAGTTGTAAAATGAGAAAAACCGTTAGAAAACTAGAACAATAGCATTTTTTTTTTTGTTCTATTCTCGTTCAATGTATATGTTATTGTTGTAGAAGAGAATTTAAAGAAGACATATTTAGCCAACAGCATCTGAAAATTATATATGGGAATATATGTACGAATTATATCTAATAAAAAAACTGACGAAAAAACGAAAAATAAAAGAAAAATGTGTTTCTAAAAGTCCTGTTGGCAAGTACTAAAGAGAATATTTATCAATGCGATTGCAAATATTATAATTATTTTTTGTTGAGCATGTGTGAGTTATTCATATAGTTTGCTTTGTAACGGAAATCGACTGATCATCGTTTTTTGTTCTTCATATAACGCAATTACGCATAGAAAAAAAATTCATCTCCTGTATCTTCTCTGCTAATAGTGACATCTGCATGTTACAAGAACAATCATTATAAATTAACCATCGTATGCATTCAATGTTCACTCGAAATAAAATCAGTTTTTCGTTCTTTTCTACATACAGTTTCTATTCCTAACCAGTCTCACTTACATAATTTCTAAAGAGAAACGAAAACAAAAAGTTTGAACTTATTTCCCTATACATATGAAAGTCGGACTATCTATAATTACCTCAGTACGTAAATGTTTGTTCAAGACGCAATAATCATATATCATCTGAATTATAGTATTTGATATCATACACAGTATGTTCAATATGTCAATTAGACACTTTTCACACAATTAAAAAACATCAACAGAACTTACATACACTTGTAACACGAAAACTCTCTGAAATCTCATTCGAAAAGCAGAACAATACAAAATGAGAATTGTAGAGCAGATTGTAGCTTTGTTGGTAACAACGAGCAAAGAATATATTTTCAAGCGCACTTCGAACCCCGTTTTTCCGTATAGCTCGATTAGCAATGGAGAAATATTCATGTTGAAAACTCAAAATTCTTTGATATTGAATTTCAAAAAGTTCAAAACACGTAGAAACACTAAATTCATTGTACTTCTGCAAGCCCAGAAGAAGAAAAATCACCTTAAATGTCATACACGTCACTACAACGGTACATGATGCGTATCTATTAAAATCAAATTCACACATCAACATTAGACAAATAGGTAATCGATTTATTTCTTCAAATAGACGGTTAACTTCTAAGTTAGCAAAGAGATAACACAATGTAAATGTCAAAATTTTGAGAAATGTTATCGAACTGATATCAGCATTAATGTCAAAATCAGTTAGACAAGAACCGCAAATTAGTTCAAAAGAAGGAAATAAAAAGGGAGAAAATCATTTTATTGATTAAAAACTATTATTCTACTTTATATTTGACATTTCAGATATCTTTACAGATTGTGTTTCTTCAAACAAAAGTTAAACGTAATCCCTATTTTACGTAGATAGAAAGCCGGAAGTATCTTAATGACAATATTTTTTGTTCAAAAAAAGAATTCTGAAATCTAGTGAAAACTTATATAAAGTATAAAATATAACAATTTTTAAGGGAAACTAATAAAATTTATAACTTTCACTATGTTTCTAAAAACTAAAATTATAACTTTATATAATCTTATAAATCTTTTATGTATTTTTTTCTTAAAGTTTCTTTCAAAAATCTAAACCGCTTAAAAAAAATATTTTTAGACAAAACGTCTCTCAATTACATCACTCAAAATATATTAAAAATAAACACTCCAATCTATTCGTTAATTATTCCCTACGGCATTATTACTTGTCTTGTATTTTATTCTATCATCTAGTCCAGTAAACGGGTTGTCACATTAGAAGATCCTTCTCGGCCTCCTCATGTATTAGCTGAAATAGATCCCCATGTTTTTAGCATTTTTACGGGATAAAACGTCAGTTCTACTGCTAGAAAACGATATTTTTTGGGAAACCTTTTTTCGGAACACAATACAAGACCCCTCTAAAACTTTTAAAAGTCAGGACAGGTTAGAACATCATAGTTTTCTAATGTGACAATCACTTTAGGAAACTTAAATTTGTTTTAAATAAAATATGATTGAGCTCACCTAGTTTTAAATGTGGAATGCATTTTTAAAAGGATTGTGTGACTGGAAGTACCGTAATTCTTTTTCGTTGGGCGTATGTGGATTATTTAAATAAGTTCTTCTACTGATTGTGATGACTTCTAAGATCCATTATATCGACTCTTCTGTCGAATAGGTTAGTGTTGTATTTATGATTCGATTACAAATATTTCGTATGACATTAAAATGACCACAATTCTATATAATAGTCTGGATGTCTATCATACGTAAAAAAGAATAACGAAAACGCATGACCTTCGACGATTGGCTCGTGTTTTCTTTTCTTTATTTCTTTTTTTCTTTCTCGCTCTTTACTCAGTGTACAGACAGCTGACCGTTGCCAAAACATCAGGTTAGACACGATGAAGGCTGTACAGATAGAAAACAGAACAAATAATTTTTCCACTTTGCAAAAATAAATTCCACCGATACATACTATTCAAAATCTAGAACTATTTACTGAGTTTAAGAAGAAAATCTCGAAAATGAAGGACAGTCATTTAGAATTCTTGAAATGATATATAGATGAGCTACTGTTTTAGTTGAAGTACAAAAATAATCATAGGCAACGATGACATTTGAAAATTATCAATGAAGTACCCAAATCCCATGAAATAATGGTTAGTGAATGTTGAAATTTTGAAATCATTTGAGAATAATCCAATTCTCCATTAAGATTTAGGCAAAATAAAGGTTGAGGCGAACTGATGAGTTTTCCATAGATTTCAGCGAAAGAAGAGAAACAAGCAGTCTACGATTTTCAGGGCAGAGTCCAAAGAATATCCATATCTTTTCGGATCTTCTGTAAGAGAGGGGCCAAATTTAATAGAGATGAAGATATTGAGACTTTTCATGTGTCTTAAATCTTTTGGACTGTTAGAGTGAACTTCAGCGAACAATAGTAAAACCGTCAAGTTTCATCGCAACAACATTTGATTAACTGAAGATTCGTAGATATGAAATCTATTAACAACAAGAAATCTACAGATCTCTTAAATCTATTACTAGAAAATTCTTGAGGGAAAAACAACATACACACGTTCGCTATCTAATGCATCAAAAGCTCAATGTTTTTTTTCTCACGTTTCGGTATTATTGTTAATTATTGTGCGGCATTTTTCTTTCCTTTTACAGCGATGAAGAAGAGACAGCTGTAGGATATGTACATCAGCTTGTTGTTGATATTGATGATATTTTTAAAAAACTTTAAATCGTTTTATTCTATGAAGATGCGTAGAAACGATTAGATATTGATTAGTAATGAATAATTTGTTAATATTTTAGACAAGAAAAAAGATGTTCATTCGAATAACTGCGGGCAATAATAATAATTGTGAACATGTTGAAAATCGACAGAAATCTTCGTCAATCGTCAGAGTATTGCTAAATGCCGCTAATTCTAAGAATTAAATTTCATATAGCATGCAGTTAGTGTTACGAAAGTTCGTTTTCAGTTAAGGATGTATGAACATGTTCTTTTCAGCCATTTATTTCGAATTTTATTGTATTATACAGTTTTTATTTTTGAATATGAGATAGTGTCGAGTGAAATCAGAATATTTTAGTTTGATTATGGGATATATTTTGAGTAGGTGATGAAAAATATTTAACTAAAAGTAATCAGCGATAACATACTTATTTCCATTTCATTTAGCGTCGAAGATAAGACGTGAATGAAGCTAACGCTCGACAATTTAAGATCTTGTCATCTATTGAGAAACGAAAGTAGTCTAATATCTCATCGATAATTATCAAGTTTCAATTAAGTGAATTAATGAAGAATTTGTTAATGATTGTTTTGGATGAAAGAAACTGTCAGATTTTTATAAACTCTATCTTTCTGTCTTTTAGGAAGATGAGTGATCTTTTTAAAAACTTGCAATTCTAATAGCCACTAAGAATAAAATGGAGTGCTTAAAATTCTTTTCTAAGAATAATTTGTTGTCTTACTTCTAGAATAAGGTGTTTCATAGACAAGTACTTTTCATTCTTCTGTCTAGACTAGGCCTATTATTAACAGACTATTGTTATCCATATCTAATAAATTATGATGAAAATAGAGCAGACATACATTATCTTAATATTTATTTAACAAGGTATTAATTATAAACTTGTTAGTATTTTTAACATAATTCACTTATTCTAATTTGACCTGCTCTCTACACCGGAAACATAGATATGTGAGAGTATTTCTTTTTTTTTAAGTGTTAGATTCTTTACCAATATGTCAATTTATGCCAACACAATCTTTCCTTCTCTCACAGTGTGACTTTCAACAATAGGCAATTATTTGTTTTTCCACCAATTTATTTGTATTTTGTCAAATTAGAACATCGGGGTGAATTACGTCGTCAATATATCTTATTCCCAAATAATAACGAGGGAAATAGCATATAATGTAACGTGGAAAAGTCCCTTTTCTTTTATTTTTTACAAAGAATAAGAACTAAAATTGTTTTTAGTCTCTCTGGAATCTTGAATATCAAATTTTTAAAGGATATATAGAGTAGCGTGGGGTAATTATGATCAATCCGTGCAAATTACAAGGAATAAACAGAATTTGACATACGCCGGTCTCTAGAAGCCGGCTTT